GGGGAAACCTTGAGAGGGATCCTCTGTGCGTTTCAGCCCTTTTCTTTCTCTCCCTTCTGATATTACTGGAGACAAAATGAAAGCCAGACCCTCTCTGCCAGAAAAAGATGTGTATCTCACAGATTCGGGAACCAAAAACTTCAGGTATGGAACCACAGACGTCACACTAAAGGACACAGGTTTCCCAATCTAAAACAAAAGACTGAGTATTTCTTCTGGGCCCGTGAGCCAATAATCGTCTTCTCAGCAAGATGAGGTATGTCTGAGATATGTATGCTACCATGAATTTCAGCCTGCTCCCCTCTATGAAAGCATTTCCCCAAGTGTGAGCTGTGGAATTATGGTACAGGAAGATATTCCATTTGGAAAGTAATATATCATAGTCTACACATTAGATTAAGCCATATAAAATAGTCCTTAATTCAAAAAAACAATATTCAAAAGTATTAATTAAAGTAATGCCTAAAACTATTTTCTTCTCCCCTTAAACACTTTTCTGCCCATAATCGGATGAACAGATTTGAACTTATATTGTTGCCAACAAATATAGCAGCAATTACAGTCAAAAAACCAAACTGTTGAAGAAAATTAATCGTTTACTTTGAATGAATCAGACACTGCAACAGCTTCCATAATTATGTCTGACAGTACCAAATCATGTCTGAGATAAAACACTGCATGACACATAATCAAACAAATAATTTGCAAGAGTCGTGGGAGGGGAGAGAACAAATGCTCCCCAGCACTCTTGTACGTCATGGGAGCACATGACAAAGGGTGTTAAAGAGGTACAATAGGCTACTGGTACTGAGACCATTTTAGACCATCTTATCACTGGAATACTACAGAACACCATCGTCTATTTATCACATAGTAAGGATTCTATGCTGATAGGATTTGTTTGTATTTGTTCTATTTTATTATTATTTGACTAACATCCTCTGTTAGAAACAATATTTAGCCCATCTAGCCTCAATATAGAAAGCTTTTACCACATGAACAAAATCAATTTGTTCTGTTTGAAGGACAGAGTAATTTGATTAACTACAAAGTACTATAATGCAAAGTTTATTCCCATTTCATCAATCTAATATAAGCAGAAATGAAATGTAGTCAACAAGTAAAATATGCACAACAACCAGGCTTTTTTATACTAGCCTTCAAATGTGTGTACATACAGATAGATATCATACATATAATGGTATACATATAATTTCCCAGAATATCCAGAGCATTCAACATTTTTCTTCATTGTTGATTTTTATTAAGTGTTTTACCATTTGATAAACAAATTTATACCTCATTTCCAGGATACTAAGTAATTGTACATGTCTAACCCAGTAATAACAATTTAGGTACCTAGTGCACAAGATCAAAAATAAGATGTCGTTGCTGGTAGTAGCTCAAAACAAGTACTTTGGTCCAATAGATAACATTATGAAAATGTTTTCAACTTTAATTTCAACTACAGTACAGAAAATGTTTTGTTTTTTTCTAGAACATAATTCATATAATCCATATCCATAAGATATTTTTGACATTCATGATGTATTTTTCATATCCTAATTTGCATCCATATACATTCCAGATCAGACTAGGTGAAGAGTGAAAACAGACAGTAGAATATTTGCAATTTATCTGAAGAACACAAATGTGTAGGTTTCTTTTTTTACACTGAATATATAAAATTATGAATAACGCAGCATTATCTGACAAGAATTCTCACAAATAACTACTTTTAAATTTCCCAGCTTGCATTCTACCAAATTATTTTTCATATTTAGACCTTACAGCTTATCAACGCTGACAAATATGCAATGTCAAAATAAATCTTTTATAAACACATTGTATGAACACATAAATAATTCTATAAAATATTAATTTATCTTTTTGCCTCTTATTTAAAGTCTGTAATACTATATGAACTTACTTTCCCTATACTTATGGAAGCATATGACTACAGATTTTTGAAAAATTCTAAAAACCCTGAGTACATAAGGATAGTGTCCTAAGTAAACAATCTTCTCAAGCCTTCCTTAGGTGCATTAGATTAACAGATTAGGAAAGAGTGAAAAGTAGACATGCTTTTTAAGGATTTTTTTCTCTTTTGCTCATATTCCCTGACTTGAAGCATCCAGTTGAGAGGGACTGCCATTTCTGTAACAGAAGCCAATAAAGGGAAATTGTGTAAAAGAACTAAAGACATTAAAATTAGTCTTAAAATTTGTCTTAAATTTATAAATTGATAAAATCAAATAGAAATTCCAGCCATTATTATTGAAAGGAAATAAATAAAAATGACATTATGTCTGAGATGCTCCCTCAACAGTATCATTGCCATTTTAAGAAATCCTCCTTAAACATGCTAACATTTTTAGTGCCTGAAGATTTTAATATCACCTCTTTATAATTATTACATACCTTAAAATTCCAGTGAATTGGAACTCAGAATTCTACTCATTTCTTGCTCACCAAAATGACATTAGTTTTTAAAAATATATGTCTTCACCAGCTCTAACCAAGCTACAGAAAGTAGGACAGGAAGAAGTAGGTGTGTGTGTAGAGGGTAAAAATCACAACGTGGATGGGAAAAGTGAGAGAATGAGAAAACGAGCTATACTCCTCATTGCCCCCAAACAAGACTTCCATACAGACAACCTGCTGGGGCTTATGATTCACCTCACTCCCATGTCCCTTTAGTATTGATAACTTATGGTTATCACTACACAGACACATGGCAATTTGACATAACCACACAAAATATTGTTTTTATAAAATGTACTGTTGTGGTGTACATGTTTGTCCCCTCCAAAGCTCACATTGAAATTGCCATTATGGGACTGTTAAGAGGTGGGACTTTTAAGAGTTCTTAGCCTAAGAGGGTGTGCTCCACTTTCTGAATAAGATTGATGATGTTATAGATCAGCTTGTTTCTGCCACATGCTTATGTAGCAGTAAGACCCTGGCTAGTTGTGAGCACCTTGATATGTTTCCCAGGCTCTGTAAATGTGAGCCAATACACTCCAGCTCATTGTAAATTACCCAATCTGGGGTATTCGGTTACAGCAGCACAGAATGAAGTAAGATATGTCCTGTGGCTAAGTTCTAAAACTGCCTTACTATTTCTAGTAAGTTACTATGGGCCCATCTTTTCTAGAAAAGAAAGGAAGGGAAGATATAGTTATTCTTCTTAATTTAAAAAAAAAAAAAATTAGCTTAGGCAGCCATTTTACAATTGGAGTCTTCATGCTGCTCTAACAAAATCCAAACTCTGGGTAGTTTATAAGCAATAGAAATTCAGTTTTCAGTTCTGGAGGCAGGGAGGCCAACATGAAGATATCAGCCTCTTTGGTGTCTGGTGAGGCCTGCTCTGCTTCCAAGGTGGTGTCTCGTTGCCCCATCCTTGCCAGGGAAGAACATGGGGTCCTCACACAGTGGGAGAAATGGAAGAGCACAAGAGAACTAAGGCAGCCCTCAATCCTCCAGCCTTTTGTAAGGCACTATTCCACTAATGAATGAAGCCTTCATGATACAATCGCATCCCCAAAGGTCTCATCTCTTAACACTGCTACGATGGGCATTAAGCTTAAACACATGCATTTTGGGAGGAAAACAATAAAATCATAGTAGTTGGATTCCTCTTTTTAAACTCCAAAGACAAATGTAGTTGACAAAAGAGGACCAAGGATACAAATCCCCCCACCCACTGTGGTTTAACTTTTTTTTTTTGCTGCCACAAACCCCACATCTCTACTACTAGCCAAACAGAACTCAATGAAGTTCCAGAATGAATGGGCACAAAATTGAAGAAATTTAATTTATCCTAAAATATTTGCAGACTAACAACAAATTCAGGAGATAAAGTATAAGAATGTTATCTTTAACAAACTATTCAGGTATTTCTAGGTACCTCAAAGTTGCAAAAGCCCTGAATCAACTACAGGAAGAAAGTCATATTGGGCCTAAGTGGCTAAAGGTACCAAACTAAATGAAAACATGGGTTAATCTCATTTATTTCTATAACCAGACATTATCTACCAACCAGAAAAAGGCAAGGTCATAAATTAAGGTGGGATAAGTGGCTTTCAGATCACTCCCATGTGCCACACAAATATATACAAATATTTTCTAAGTATGTTAAGGAATGAAAATACTGTGAAGTATCAATTTAATGAAAGTGCTAGCCTGAGGGAAAAAAACCTAGGTTCAACTTCTTGCTATCTCAGTAGCTAAATGACCTTAAATTACTGAGCCTTTTGAAACCCTTAGTAAGGCTCATTTATTAAATGAGAAATAGTTTAGACTAATTTAGCTCTAAAATTCCATCATTTCCCATACATATACACTTGATGTAAAGTAACAGCCACACTTATTTAATTAAAAACTCTCAATTCCTTCAGTCATTCAATAAATATTTATCAAGCACCTAATCTGTGCCAGGTATGTGAAAATCTGGGAAAACATGGAAGACATAATTCCTAAATACGTCTTAATGTGAAAGTGGTTAAATAGTAAATGCTTCTAAATAGAAATCTGCATATATAATGAAAGCTTACCTATACATAATTAATAAATATTAACTTTAGTTATAGTCAGAGCTTCTGCCAGGATGATTTTCCTCCTCTATATACTCAATTGCTTTTAAAAAATTATTATGTAAACAATTACTGCTAAACTGCATTTAAAATCAAAATCAATTCCAAAAGTATAAGTTTATAAAAATAGTTTATTTTTAAAGACTCTCAATAGGACTTCAACATCTTATTTTCAGATTATACCAAAAAAGGCAATTGAGTGTTCAGTATATTTTAATTCATGATGGAATCTGTTCCATATCGAAGACTATATATATATATATATATATATATATATATATATATATATATTGTCTATT